CTTGACATTAAAAACTTTACCTCCCGGGTAGTGCCGGGTAGTGCTGTTAAATTAAACGTGCCTGGTTCAACTCGTCTTGAGCTCAGCTTGTTAAGTCTCGAGCTCGACTTGAGTTCAAGGCCTAACAAGCCGAGCTCGAGCTCATTTAAAGCTCAATTTGTAGCTCGGATCGATAATGCTCGTTAAGGCTTGAAAATAGAATTTTTATATAATTTTTTATAGTTCGGTTCGTTAAGGCTCGAGATCGAGGCCTTAATGATCTGAGCTCGAGCTTAATTTTGGCTAGTTTATTTAACGAGCTCGAGCTCGAATTTTGGCTAGTTTAACGAAATTCGAGCTCGAGCTCGAATTTTGGCTAGTTTATTTCACGAGCTCGAGCTCGAAATTTAGCTAGGTTATTTTTTGCTTTTTTTTTTTTGGATTTTCCCACAGACGACGTCATTTTAATGCATCAAAAATATCGACTCACCAAGATTGTCGGTTGAACCCCCTCGTCCGAATCGCCTTGTCTTGCTAACCGAATCAACCTTCAAAATTGCTAGAGGCAGGGCCACGGCCTAGATACTCCAGATGCTCTAGTCAGAAAACTTATAATTGAGAGACTTATTGAGAGCTTAGGATTAGAAATTGAACCTGGATTCCTTATTTATAAGGAGCTTAATGACTTACTCCCTGAGACACAATGAGTTTCCATAATAATTAAGGAGTCTGATCCTCCAAAATCATTGTGTAGATACTCACAAACTTACTTCGATATCTTTTAAGAATATTTCATGAATTTGTATAGGTATTTAACCAACACCATACATTTTTAAATCGCATAAATTGGGCTTAAGCTCCCTTTGGACCGGCCTTACCCATGCTAACTACTCAAGTCGGTCCACAGAGCTATTTGTTGTGCTACATCAGACTTAACAAAAAATAATTTTACTAATTAATTCGTGGTAAATGAGATAGACAACAAATTCTACGATTATTTTAAATCTTTATTCGGCTACAAAAAAAGTGCCAAATTTTGTTTCATTATGCTTAGAATTGACATTTTTTTATGAAGATGTTATTTGTATAAATAATAGATTTTTTTTGTTTGTGGATTATCATAATCAAATTAATAAATAAAATAACTATTAAATTTTTTTTTCATAAAAATAGACAATACTAAAAAAATTAGACTAGATTGAATTTTTTTAATTCGTATTATTTCGTAGCATTTGGAATGATATAAAAAATAATCACATAATACTAATTTTTAAGTATTGTTGACGGACTAGTATTGTTATACACACACTCTTTTTTTCTTTTTCTTTTTCTATTTTTTTAGTAAATTAGATCATGTCTTTTGGTTTGTTTTATTTAACTAAAAATATAATTTTTAATTATTCATTAATTTAAATATTTAAGTGATTTATTAAACTTAAATAATATAATTTCTAATTATCATTTAATTCAAACGGTATTTAAATCACTGGCAATATTTCAATCTAATAACAGTAAAAAGATTAGAACAAAACAAAAAATTAGCTCATTTAGCAATACTACCAGATGAGTTTTCCGTCCCAAATTGAAATTTATCAACATCGTCAAATAAAGATTTCCCAACATAGTTTTTGTTTTTTTATATAAGACTTCTACAATCACACAACAAAAAAATACTAAATCATGTTCATGTTGCTTAATATTTAATTTATAAAATTTAATTTATTATTAATACGATGTTAGTTTTTATTGAATTATTTTTAATATTTCTTCCCAAGTCATAACAATAATAAAAATATTTTTAGGGTCCGTTTGGTTGGGCATAGTAAGAGTGATATCAGTTAATTCAATATACTATCAAGACATTTAACATGTTTGGTTTGGAACTTCAAAGCCCTGAAAATTGCTATTGACCCAGTCAACTATCCTTTATATGAATACCTCACCCCACCAATTTAATTGGATACAGTATACTACTACTCCACTTAATGCCCTCATCTCTGTCAACTCAACACTCGCCCGCCAGAGAGCCATTGGAGGCAACGACGAAATGGATTTTTGCCTACCTAGGAGATGTCTTCGTCGAGTTCACCTTGTGAGAACTACACATTGTAGCCTTTTCATTTGGTATTTCCAGTGGATCTGTGGTTGATGAATCTCTAGCGGATCTGTGGTTTTTTTTTTTTTTTTGTGGGATTTTTGGTGGATCTATGTTGGGGCAATTTGTCGAGGCCAAGAGCTTGACAATGGTTAATGAATGCTTTATTGCTTCTTGGATCTTAAAATACGTTTTTGAAGGCACAACTGTTTGTGGACCATCTGAGTTACGATTTTTCTATTCATAGATGATTTTGGAGAATTACCTCTATCATAAATTAATTTTGAAAATTTCTGTGTTGCGAATTTTAAAAATTGCCTGAATATTATAACTCATATTTAGGTTGAGCCCAACAAATAACCAAACAAGTTAATGAAATAGATTAGGGAAAATTACATACATGGAACTCTGTCTATGGATATTTACATATATACAACCCCTGCAAACATTAATCAAAAGATGATCAAAAACTGATTTTTATTTCATTTGTACGAGATTCTGATTTCTCTCACTATATCCATTTGTCTCTCTCTCTCTCTCTCCATATATTAATCATGAAGCCGAAATTCACTCATGAAAAACGGTTGCTTCTCTCTCCAAATCCGTTTCTCTCTCCAAAATCAATTGCTTCTCTTTCCAATAAGTCTATTTCTCTTACCAAAATAAAAACCATGCCATTAATAAAAATCATGTCATTAATGATAGCTATAAATTCTTTTCTCTCTCCAAAAGCCATTGCTTCTCTTTCCAAGAAATCTGTTTCTCTCACCAAAATAAAAATTATGCCATTAATATGCCCGTCAAAATATGAGTTGTGAAATTGATCGTGAAAATATGTTCAGATATACTGTATATATATACATAAGATAAACAACAACAACATGTAAATCGACTATATAGTTGTACGTAAGATAAACAACATATAAATAACATTGGAACGGGATAAAACATTATACACAATTCTAAATGACTGCAAAATCTCCTTTGATATCAGGGATTGGAAAGTAAAAAATTCAAATAAAATTGTTCTCTGTGAAATCTCCTTCGATAAAATAATTTAAATATACTGTACATATACTGCCTAATAACCACAAGTGTTTAGATATACTGTATATAGACATCAAATAAACATGATCTGACAGTTATCTAATATTAACCGTATAATTATACATAAGATAAACAACATATAAACAATTCTGAAACGGGTAAAATCATAATACACCTTAACATTCAAAAAAATTGAGATTCAAAAAATTGAGATTCTGAACAATCGAGATTTGACTTGGCTCAGGGCTTGAAGGTTCGCTTTCTTTGTCTTCCCTGCATGAATGTTTTCGTTTGTACCCCCTTTCTCATATGGTCCGATAGGCGAGAAAATAGGTGACTGCAAATAATTTCGAATTTTCGCCAACAGTCTGCTTTCACACCGCCATTGGGCCAGGCAACCGCGCACTCAGGTCAGGCAAACATCACCTTTGAGAGCCTTCGTCAGTCCGGGCCTCGTGCGTTGCGCTGCCGCTGGTAGCCCCATCGAAGTGGATCTCCATGGATCCGAAATTGAAAGTAATTTCTAAAATTTGTGAAATTGTGTGCTGTGAGAAATTGTAGAGAACAAATCAAGGATCGAAAGAACGAAAGAAGAAGAAAAAGATGAGGGAGGGAGGGAGAGAGAGAGAGAGAGAGAGAGATAGACCACGACTGAAGGGAGATGATGGTGAGAGAGAGAGAACACGTAACAGATAACCACATTAATTGCTGAAAAAATGTCTTGTAGAGAACACGTAATTTTGATAAAAAAATTATCTGCTCGTAATTTTGATATTATTTCCATAAGCAATTGTAAAGAATATAATTTTGTCAATAGATTACATCAAATGAATAACTTAGGTAAACAAAATTGGATAGTATCAAGCCCAATAATACTATGTAACCAAACCGACCCTTAATATGTTATATCTAGGGCTGGTATCGGTTCGGTAACCGAACCGATAAGGCAAAAACCGATACCGAACCGATTATTTCGGTAACTACAAATATGAAACCGTTACCGAACCGTTTCTAATCGGTAACCGATAACTCGGTTCGGTAACGGTTTCCTACCGAAAAAAAAACTGAAATTTACCAATAATAAATGAGAGGACCGATTTTTTTTTTTTTTTTTTTTTTTTTAATGGGTGAGANTTTTTTTGTTAATGGGTGAGATGAGCATGCATGAAATTAATACTAATCAAATTTTGATTATTGTACTTATACAGTGATTAATAGAAATATACAAACCATAAAATTGATCCACAGATGCGCAAAGTGGTCAAGCATACTACGACTTTTGCTGAGGGAAATTTGTCCGCGAATAGGGCATCCAATATCTAGAATGAATGTCGGCAACTGTTGAATTTCCTGAATATTGCTTATGATGGTTTTCAAGTCCTGAATATTGCTTAGTAATTATATTCAAAAGTTGTTTGCTCTGTTATGCATTCGCAAGCTATGTAACATAAGTTATTACTTATTAGTATTAAGTTATTAATTATTAGCATTAAGTTATTAATATTAGTATTAAGTTATTAATTATTAACATTAAGTAATATATTTTTTAAATAAATTCCTTATCGGTTCGGTTCGGTAAAACCGAACCTCTATGGTTTCAGAACCGATACCATACCGATAACATATCGGTAACCGATAATCGGTTACCGTTTTAAGTGAGTCGGTTCGGTTCAATTTNAACCATTCCTGGCCACTTTTTGGAGACCACCTACTCCTAGTCCCCACCATCAAAATCAAACCACATTCATACTAAACAAAAAGAAACCATCAATCAGTAATCACCACACCATTTGGACCAATTGCAACCACCACAGCCTTTCTGGGGTCCGATTTAAATAGTAATAATAATTTTAAAAAAAATATCATCATAGCATCACAGTAACCAACCAGCTTAGCCAAGAGATAATATTATACGATCTAGAGGAAAAATAAAACAGAGCGGGCTAATCTTTACGAGCGCCACACATAAATATTAACACCCTTGTATCATTTACGTGTTTATGCCCAAAAGTCTCCAAGTCTTTCTGTTTTCTTTTTCTCCATTTCTTTTTTTTCTTTTGGGCATTACAGAAAATAATATTTACGAGTAGAAGACAAAGTCCCAGAAGTAGAAGCAAACACGTGATACAAATGATATTTTTTTCCTTTTAATCAAAAAAGAACTTTCACTATCTAAAACCAAATGCAGGAATATAAATTACTCCTAACCTGTTTTTCTAACATCTCTAACATCTAACTCCTTCATACAAAAACAAAAGGAAAAAAATAAATTGTTCAGCTTTTCCTTCCAATCCATCAAATCACCTTCAATTTCAAAATGGCATCTTTACCTATCAAGAATCCTCCCAAAATATCAACAAGAGTTGTACAACACATTCATCCCAATTTCACAGCATTTTGCAGTCGGGAAGCGTCATTCAGCACCGTCCTTCTTTCCACCCCTACTCTGGACATCCCGTTCACCACACGAGCCTCACGAGTAATCATGAGCATATAACCTTATCAGGTAATGCATTCCTTGCAAGATCCTTTTCATTTCTTCTCAGGCTGCCATGGATGCAAATTGTCATTTCCTGGTCAAGAAATAGTTAAAAGTCGAACCATAAATTCACGCTCCCCATTTGTTTTCTACAAATTCAGTCAACTCACAACTCCCAACCAAGAAATCGGTTTTTGCACGCAATAAAAATCATCCCAATCACCAACCAAAGATATTGAAAAGGCAATAAAT